CATTACATTATAATTACCCAGAGGTATTACACGTCAAATTTACCCGCGTGACAGCCGAACGGACCAAAGCCCTAGTGTTTGTACTCGTTACTCGCAACTGCAGCAATGTTGCTCACCTCCGACACTGCAGTGCTGCTCACATTGCTCACGACTTGCAAAATTATTCGAGTTTCCGTCGCATCCGTTGTACTGGAAAGTCTCACAGTTTTGTGTCTGGGAGTTGTAGAAGTAGCGAAATGTCGACCCGGCGCCACACTGCACTCCCGAATCGGAATTCAGGGAACATGTGAATGCTGAAAAGTAGATTTGAACCAATTCGACGCGGATGCATGCACTGAAGCCTGACCTTTCGTAGGACAACATCCCCACTGCTCTCCGTCGTAGTAGCACTCGTGATTAGACGGACAGCCGAAGCCCGCAGAGCAGGTAGTGAAATCGCCGAACTGGTTGCGATACGCCTGCCCCTGGATGCACTTCGGTTCAGCTGCAAACATATGAATTCAACAATAGCAGGCGAAAGACCAATAATGACTTACGGATGGCGTTCTTGCAGAAATTTTGGCAGTCCAGAACTGTTTCGAAATTGTTGTCGTTTCCTTGGCATCCTGAAAACTCATCAGTTGCGGCTTTAGTGCAAAAGATAATTGTACTTACTAGTTGGTTTGCTTGTGAAGAGAATAGGCAGAAGAAGTGCTGCTCACCTGTGTACTCGAACATCTGGCATTGTCTCGCCTTAGCGTTATACCAGTAGCGTTTCACATTCTCTGTGCAATCTCCAACTCTCAATGGCTGAGCACAAATCGTCTCTGCAATTCTTGGTTTTTTTTTGCGAGACAACCCAAATTTAATCTCGCAAAAATCCATTCAATCGAAAAGATGCTAACGTTTCCTGGGACAGCAGACTCCTTGATCTACTCGACACTCATGCGATAACGGGCACTGATTGTTGGCCTGACAGCGTTGCGACTCCTCTCCAATCCGAAGTGGCGATCCTCGCTCACACTGCACTGAAACAATCGAAACCTGCTAATTGCTATATTGCCTGAAACTACGAGGACCTTTCTCAAGTATTCATTCCGGTATTCTACGTCTATTGTTCGCATAGGTGAGCACCCGCTGCGCACCCCAGGAAAGGTGAGATGGCAAGATCTGATCCCGTTTTGTCGACCCTTTCAAGTTTGTTTATCCCAGAATGCCCGACAAGGTGGTAAACGCTGGTTGATGTTAAGGAAGGTAGGGTGGCTTTACTCTGAAGGATCTCTGATGATTAGCCCTCTCATTCCTCTCCTTTTTCGGTCCACCGGGGGAGGGCTTAACTTAGCACCTCAATCCCGGTATCAGAGCTCCCTCAACCGAAGTCACACCCTGAGTACAAATTCAACTAGATGTAATGATTGCCTAATTCACAATGTGACATCGGAATGAACGAAACTCTTAAGGTGTAGATTCGCTCATCTGATTCGAATTTCACTCATGCTTTTGCTATAACACATAGAATTAGTTATCAAATGTACTATAAGAAACCATTACTATAAGCTGTTACTGCTAATGAGGTGCGATAGTGTTTCCTTGACAGCACGCCCCCTCCCCCTTTTCTTGATTTGCCGAGTGATATCGTTGAACCTTCGATAGTAGGGGAAAGGAGGGGAGGTAAAGTGTATGCTGTGGGCAAGAATACAAAGCGCCCCCGTGAAACAAGATCTTTCTTTGCGCATCTTCTTCTTTCTTTGGCCGTTGACGATGTTTACGGGAAATTATCCCCCAGATGCCCCCTTCATCAGCAGAGCAGGCCCTCCTTTCCACTGGCCCCTCCGTGATCACAATACGATGTCATGTATATTTTCTAGAAAAGGCAGTAGCTTTAAGTATGCAAGACCGTTTCTGACCACCGTGATGAAGTCGTAATGGTCCACGATCCGTCAAAGACCTCGATGGGCTCGAAGTATACCATTTTCCGTGGAAAAATCATTTGATGTCGTCGGATTGAAAACTCTCATGAGCTTTTTTTCTGATGGAATGGAATGTGCTCTTTAATTTCCTGTTGAGATCGCACGGTTTGAACTCGCAGCAATGTGTAATTAATTCCGTTCTAAATGTAGTTGGGAGTGCCTTTTTTGCCCCTCCTCCCTTGCGTACTTCTTGATATGTAAGCGTTGGTACTCACATCGTGCACAATACAGTTCGCATTCATGCCGTGACAGGAAGTTGTTGAAATTTCCTCCTGCACCGCGGTAGACGAAATCCTGGCAACCGACCACTCGTGGTGTCATAATAGAACCTGAAATATCAGCATTTTGTGCTACACGTTCTACGTGAAGCTAATTTGTATTCATAATTGCATCCATGAGACGCACAGTCGAGAAGTGCATACTGGTTGGGAGAACATCGCAGTCTACCCTTTTCGGTCTCTGTAATTTAGAGAATGACTCAAATGGTTACGTGGAGCCAAGTTGCCCAACTAACAAGGGGGGTCTTTCAGGGCAAGCCACGCTTTTTCAAAACGGTTTCTTGCATATTGTAGGGATGCATGTAGGGAACACAAAACCATGTTTCATTTTCGCTGAACGGTTTAGCAGTACCAAAAAAGAAGCATAAGGTACTGTTAATGGGTTCGATCCCCCGTGGCGACTAAATTTTGCATTTGGCGCCTACGGTTTGGTGCCAAATCGCGCTAAATATCAAAATCAGATGTCAAATTCATCGTCAGGACCATTTTGAAGCCAACAAGTGGCCGCCAACCTTGATTGCAAAATTTAGTCGCCGCGGGGATCGAACCATCAAGGGTATCATTCACCACTTTTTTGATACTACTAAAACCGTTCAGCGAAAACGAAACATGGTTTTGTGGTCCATACATGCGTCCCTACAATATGCAAGAAACCGTTTCCAAAAAGCGCGGCTTGCCCTGAAAGACCCCCAAGTGCTCAGAAGTGCGGATCCTGGTATTGACCTGGTATTGTGTGAGGGAATAGCTGGGAAATGCGTGTCTAAGCTAGTGTAGTATACGATTAGAGCTAGTGTAGTATACGATAAAAGATGCTGTTGCTGGCATGAATCAGATATGGTTGAAGACGGTAAATCGCCGCCAAAAGCTTAACAGCCCGAACTTGCACTCCAATTAGAACTCTGAAAGAATAACTGGAGGAGAAGGATGCGAAAGAAAGGATGTTTGAAGGCAGCGATTACGATAAAGTGGGAGCGCATCGGGGAAGCATATGCACCACACGAATCAGTTACTTGGCTGCCAGGGAAGCGAGGTGTAGCGCTTTCACGACGAAAGGTGCGCTGGTTGCTGAGCAGGACTTCGAAAGCACTCCGCCCCCAAAAGCGATCCGCCCACTAGTTTAGTTGGTGATTTGGACGAGCTGCGTTGCCAGCAGCGGCACAACTGGAGCAACTCGATTGGAGCGTGGTTTGGCATGGTGCCACCAAACGCGTTGCGCTGAACTCGTTCATACGTCCGCTTTCTGAGCTGTTACCTGTTCATGAGTGAAAACCAAAAAAGGGGTCCCGTTTTGCGTTTTCTTGACGGATTTCTCCGCTTTTTTCGCCACTGGCGTACCATTGAGCACCACCACGTCTCCTCTAAACCTTCTTGTATATCGTAATCGCTGCCTTTAGGTTAGCCAGCGGCGCACCAAATTGGTTGACACATTCGATTAGTTTCCAAGAAATCAGTGTTTAGTAACAAACACCATTTCTGTTCGGGCGTTTTTGAACAGCGTTCCCTTCGAAGAATGCGACGGCACGAATCATAATTGGATGGGTACCTGATGGTTTCCCGTCCAGTCGTGACGAGAAATCCAGCGTGAAAAATGGTGGATCGCGGTGTGATGTCATGTGGGCGGCCACCTTTGGATGAACAGATGGAGGCTGGAACGGGAATTGTTTTTATAATACCTTATAACTTAAGGAGGTGCGAGTGTTTGCCTGGAGTCGGACAGCAAAGGTGCTGGCTGCCAACCGTGGCACATTGGAAATCGTTGCCGCAACTTGCCGACGAGGCACACGAAGTTATAGGT